CTACCAGTTGTCATACATCCACGTTGCTGATGCTGCGATGGCTCAGTGGGTTAGATCGCTGACATTGTGTGCAGGCGATTAGTTGTCTGAATCTGACAGTGTGGGCTTGAACCCCGATAAACCCCCGATGAAAATAGTAGCAGCATCTGAAATGCACTCAGAACGTGTAATCCCAAATCTAACAAATTACATTTTCCAAATGGGTTCCAACTGTGTAGTAGTCAGAAACATATCCAAGTAAGCCCATGCAAGTCTAGAAAATGTCTAGATGACCACAGTTTCTGAAAATGAAGAAAATATATGTGCTCCTTTTCATTATATTTTATGATTATAATTTAGGAACGTTTTTTTCTTCTATAAAATATGTTCACTTCAGAGACTAGATGTTAGTCTAACTGTGTATTTTGAAGGTCTAAATTTTAGATTCGGTCGATGATCAGATTCTGAGAGGAAGAAGAAGAAAATGGGTTTATTATCGTGTCACATATTTTCTGTACAGAATATTTCACCATTCCCTGATACAAGTTAAGAGGCTTACAGAAAATTTTAACCTTCAAGAACAGAACATTTAACCTTCTATCTCGAAATCTGATCTCCTGAGACAATGGTAGTTAAAATGGGATTAGGATATTCAAAAATAACTTATTTGTTGAATTATGTTCCAGCGCTGATCACGTGGTGTAATTCATTGCACGTTCTCCGCCCCCTGCAGCAGTTAGTGAATCATTCACTGCCGCTATTTCGGATGAAGCATTGTCTTGGTTTCAGTGCCTATTAATTGTTGTTATTACATCATTAATCTTCCTTTACGTGTGGGTTTGTTGTTAGGCAAGTTTTACCACGTAGGATAACATACTACCCATAATCCACCATGTCACCGCTTCGATCGGTGTATTACACTGCGCTTGTCATACCATGTCACACCGTAATGATTTACATTCATACGTTGAACCTTTGTCGTTTATCATTATGAATGACTCCTGGTGATGTTCCACAATGGCTGGTTGGCTGTTATAACGCCCCACTCAGCAATATTCCAGCTCTATGGCGGACCGGTCTGTAAAATAACCGAATATGGACCACACAATCCAGTGATCAACAGCATGAGCATCTACTACCCACCTGGGATACGATGACATGTGTCAACCAAGTCAGTGAGCCGGGCCACCCGATCCTGTTAGTCACCTCTTACGACAAGCATGGGTCACTGAAGACCAATAATAACCCTGATCACCCAAGCCGTCCCAGACTTACCTCCCTTAGTAATGCCAGGATCCAAAATTTGCACTGATTATGTTGGTTAACATCACTTCTGTTTTACCTTCTAAATCAAGCTGTTACGAGGTGATATACTCTGTATATCAATGAATCGGTTCCGGAATATCTACAAAGCTGCTTTAATTGTCCACAAAGACATTTTATTATTCTCTGTAATACTTGTGTACCGTTCTTTTGATGAACGCAAACAACCCAGTAATTTTGAAGCAAGGACCTTAAGACTTTAAATTAATGCAATGACAATGCTTCGAAGAATGACATAGAATGTCACGGTGACCTGACATAAATTGTCGCCTAGACAGAAATACAAAGATGGTAGATATCTCTTTCAAGAACGTCACTTTAATGTGCGCTAAAACAACTAATAGGGACATTTGCTGGCGTGACAGAATTTCTACAAAAACATTTTTTGCCGTGTTTGTCATGTTTAGAAGGCGTTTCCATGGTAACTCAATATTATCTGCATGTGCAATGTTTAACCGAACACACATCTCTGAACTGCCGGGGTGGAGAATGTCACCTTCCAAATGCCTCCGCTTTTCTTTTAAATGTCATCCCTCTGTCGTACATTTATTCCCGATTTTTGGTTCCTGGGAGTTTGGAATAAAAGGATAAACCACAATGTCACAGACAAAGGAATTCTCCTCCATGCACAGCGAATAAACATTATCTTAAATGTCAAGGAAAACGCACCGCATTTCTTGTAAACTAACAAAAATTTAAAAAATTTTAAAACAATAATTTCTCTGTACAAAAAAAAGCAGAATGTCAGGATGCAAACTTTGAATTTTTAATTAAAATACCAAAAAAATGAAAAGTAACATACTTTAGAATGTGTTTCTCAAGGTTGATGCACGAACTGAACTTCCCCACAGAGATATAGTTATTGTCATATATCTGTTGTGTACTGTGTGAGTGTTAGCGAGGTATATCACTCATAATATCAGCAATAATTTGAAGAAAACTAACCTAAGCCATGAGATACACAAATGTGTTAATAAAGTTAGTCCGACAGCGTGTTTGGTCATGCTCCCTGGAGGCTGTTTTGAGTGAGTATGGTTTTACGCCGCTTTTAGCTATATTCTAGCAATATCACGGCTGTGACAAACCTTTGGCAACAAGCAGTTTATCATTATCATTATTTTGTGAATTTAATGTGGCTACTTTTCTTTCCAATCTCAATATTAAGAGTGAGTGAGTATCGTGTTACGGACGTTTTAGCAATATTCCAGCAATATAGCAGCGGGGGACACCAGAATCGGGCTTCACATATTGTAGCCATGTGGGGAATCGAACCCGAGTCTTCTGCGTGATAAGCGGACGCTTTAACCAATAGGCTCAAAACAAGTTTCTTTCCCATGTATAAGCAAATCATATAAGCATCCATGTTTTTAGCGGAGTCCATTTTGCTGGATTCCGACTATATAATGAAAATGTATTAATGAATCACTTTAAAACAGTGAATATTGAGGTGAAAGAAAGAAATACATTTACTTATTCAATGTACTTATGCATCCAATGCTGTTCAATATATTACTAAAGTAATCTGCGTTTATACCGAACTGACAGCTATAAAAATCGTTTTAGTCCAGAGCCTAGATTTTCGAAGCTCTCTTAGCGCCAAGACAGCCGTAAGTTAATGTTAACGAATGGCACATACGACTATCTTAGCGCTAAGAGTGCTTCGAAAATCTAGGCCCTGGTCACTTTTTGTATATTTTAGTCGAAATGCTAAACGACTTCCGACTATAACAAAGTAAACAGTCTCCCTGAGTTCGTTATAACCGAACTTTCTTAATCAATTTCAGTCTTGAAATTGAACATTTTAGTAGAAATGCTATAGCGAGCTACGACTATAACGAACTAAACAGTCTCTTTGAGTTCGTTATAACCGTACATTTTTAACCAATGGTAGTCTTGACATTGTACTCGAGCACCGAGTTCATTCATTGACAACAGGTTCAGTGGAAGACATGGAGACTCCGCTTGTGACGTCTCAGTGCGGGTGATGGAACACCCAGCTTTGTCTCGCGTGACAGAGGGAGTGTCCCACCCAAAGTCTGCACAAAGACCCCCGGGCGAGGCGGCCGTGGGCGGCAGTGGCGGCACACAACTGGGGCGTTACGGGTCGTCACGAACGCATACCTCAAAAACCTTTCGCACGTGTGCAAAAAACTTGATATGTAATCGTCTTCAAGCTGGATGCACGTGTCGCAATGTCTTTCATATGATTCAGCAGTTCAGACCATAGGCAAATATTTCAATTTCAATTTACGTGTAACATATCTTATATTTGGGATTACACTTTCTTAGTAAAGTACAGATTCTAGTACTTTTGATGGGTTGAGTCCGCGGTGGCTGAGGGGTTAGGTGTCTGAATTTTAGGTGACTGACTCTGAGGGCGTGGGTTCGAATCCCGGATGGGACTCAACCCAACAAAAGTACTAGAATCTATACTTTACTAAGAAATGGTGTAATCCCAAATATAACATATGTTACATTTGACCACTTTCTAAACGTTATTGTGTATTCATACCATTTACTGAAGAGGCCACGTGAAATGGGGTTCCAAGGCTAGTGCATTTCTATGACTATATGCGCGCACGTGTGCGTCCGTATGCGTGTGTGTGTGTGCGCCCGTATGCGTGTGTAGGTATGTGTGTGCGTGTACTAGTACGGACAAATATTGGTTTAAGTGTCCCGCAACTGAGATATCACGCGGCAGTCTAACTGATAACCCGCTAAAATACAGTATACTGACTGAGAGCCGACCAATCCAAGTTTTGTTCCCATAATGCCAAGCGTCAAGCAAGGAAACTACATGTAGTACCAAATGTAACGTCTCCAAACAGACATCTGTCATCGCATCCCTATTGTGTAGATTGATGCTCATGATGTTGATCACTTGATTGTCTGGTCCAGACTCGATTATTTACGGACCGCCGCCATATAGTTGTAATATATTGAAGAGTGTAGCGAAAGACAACAACCAAACCTAACCAAACCATTCAAATTATTATAGAATATTTATATAGCGCACATATATCCAGGCAACTAGTCCATGCTCAAGGCGCTGATATTTACAGTACACTATCCATATACAGTGACACTCCCACCTTCCAGGCGATTACAGTGAACATACGGATGCAGTGTTACCACCTATTCCTGCTTCGTCAAACGCGTGGGTCAAAATGCTGTAACAGGACTGGAACCATTCCTGGTCTTCTTAAACAGGAACTGATAACGTGAGTGAGTTGACCTTTACGCCGCACTCAGCAATATTATATGGTGGCGGTCTGCAAATGATCGAGTCTCGACCACCGCTTCGATCGGTGTATTACACTGCGCATGTCATACCATGTCACACTGTAATGATTTACATTCATACGTTGAACCCTTGTCGTTTATCATTATGAATGACTGCTGGTGATGTTCCGCAAAGGTTGGTTGATTGTTATAACGCCCCACTCAGCAATATTCAAGCTCTATGGCGGACCGGTCTGTAAAATATTCGAATATGGACAACAAAATCCAGTGATCAACAGCATGAGCATCGATCTGAGCAATTGGGAACCGGTGACATGTGTCAACCAAGTCAGCGTGCCTGACCACCCGATCCCGTGAGTCACCTCTTATGACAAGCATGAGCTACTGAAGATCAATATTCTAACCCGGACCTTCACGGGTCAGGAACTGGTAACGAAGCACAAGCAAAAATCAAATACATTTTGAATTTTTAATTCAAATTCGTCATTTTTACACCTTTTGTACAAAATATATAGTCAACATATATACAATCTTGAACAACCTTGAGAAGAAAACCTCAATTCAGTTTCCGGTTTTCCCGGATCTGACGTCATAAATGGTACCATGCATACGTCACTCTCGCACCAGCCTCAACACACACTCAGTGGTGTATGTACCACTGTCTCATCAACAACACAAAGTACAGATAAAGCATTAGAAAAATAGGCTTTGTTTTGGCAGTGAAGGCACCGTTTTCTGACAAAATAAACGTTCATGCTGCCGACCCCTTCAGCAGAAAATGCATAGTTTAAATATTCAAACAATAATGCACGTTTGCAATCGTCTTTGAGACGAGAACCTTAATGCAGTTTGTAGCACAGATTAAAGTGACAGAGGGAGAGTCTTGATCTGAGATCAGGTGACCGAGAGAGGGGAGCGTATTTGCCAAGATTTCTAAATATTGACGTTATGGGTTGTTGAGTTGTCGGTTTGGTGAAAAGCACTGCAGCCAGTCCTTGACCTGACCTTGACGCTGTATGTCCACAATATGGGCACCTAACCATAAGACATGAAATATGTATATCTCATAGTTCTGTTAATATATCCCAGTTTCCGTTTGGAGACAAAAACGCTTCTGCAAATTAAATTAGTTTACGATTAAACTAATTTGGACAACAAAGTATGCTTTACTAATATGCAATTTCAATCTGAAATGAGTGATAATTTCAGAAAAAATGTTGAAACGAGCTGGTTACGGTGTAATGTTTCCGTCTGCCATCAGAACCTGTTGTGTAGTCAACTAAGATGTTGGCTCCGCACGAGACGGGGGCAAACAACTTCCCCAATCTAACTCCGCGTCCCCCAGACAGGAAACCCTGTGCTGTAACTGTGGGAACCAGCAACCACGCAGGCCGACTCTAACACAAGGCCCATTCACACGGGGAGAGATTATCCGCAGTAATATCTAAATACACTCTAAGCTCAATTTTGTCGGAGCTTCAACAATGGCTTTTTCTGTAATTCCCGACCGTATTTGCAATGAGAGACATCTAAGCTTTGTACTTTATCGGCGTTATGGAAATTGAGATTTATTGATGATAATTATCCGGATTTGGGGTTTACATTTGCGGCTAAAACGTAAATTAAATTCGGATTTTGGTGTATCTTAGATGACTTTGTGAAAAGACGGCGGGTTTGATTCTATAAGAAGATACATCAAAAGGAAATATTGAATCAAACAAATGTAAGTCTCTATGCCAAGGAACTCAAGAACAAGGACCGGTTTTGAACCTGTCAGAGGCGCCCATTCATCCTATTGTTGAAATTGGAGGATCTATATTTTGTACATTCTATGTACAAACGGAGCCGTCAAGTGAGTGGATGCTTGATGCTGCGTCTGCCATATTGCATCTATTCACAGCGAATGAGTGGTCAAGAGGGGTTCTAAGTCAAATATTCTTTTATTGGACGGCTCCGGTCAATAAGATATCTTGGCAAATACCTAATTATGGGACAGAGATTTCACACAGAACGCTGAGAACACGTGGGTAGCATATACAGCATAGAAGTCTTCAAGAGACTTCTCAGACATGAGAAAGTTCATTTTAGTACGCCCTGCAAGTTGAATAAATTATGCTAATTTATGCAAATGATTCCATGAGCAAGAATGATGATGTATGGCCGTTTGGGCCAACCAGCACTGGGTGAGACCCATATACCAGATGAGCACACTAATATCACAAATAGTTCACATACACACATAAGCACTGTCTGCACGTGCTCTTGCATCAATCAAGTGACTCGGAATCATGTCAGTCACTCTACAGTCTCAATAATGTCTGGAATATTTGAAGCTCACGGCTCCCCGTTTGCATTTTGGGGGCTGTTGAAATAAACGTAGTCCGATGATTTTGTTGTTGTAATTGTTTGTCCGCTGTTGTCTGCATCGTAATCATCAACGATCGGTCCAATAATCAGTTGCCCCAGCAACTGGCTTGATGGCGGATGTGGGTTTCCACAACTGTCGTCACTTCCGGAATCATATGCATTTTGCTGGAACTCGCGGACGGCCCGGATATTGCTCTTCGATTTTAGGCGATCACGTGCTGGTTCATACGGTTGTACTTGAACATATGCACTCTGACATTCCATCATTTCTGAAAAAAGAAGAAGAAATATATATTATTGTGCTTTTTTAACAAGTTAGATTTGCAACTGACTGTTCAAAATTTCACAAACACATTCAATTTAAGAAACATCTGTTTCTTCAGTAGTCACTAAGCTGTGACACATATATTCTAATAATTAAGTGACTTATCACATTATTTATTACCCCACATTGCGACAAATTACACCTTAAGACCACTGCCAGCGGTACCGATCCCTATAATCCTCAATAATTAGGTAACCCTTATCAGTGAAATACGGACAACTAGTCATCTTCTCCCGACTTAATTTGAGAGCACCTGTTTGCCAAGCACGAGATCACAGAGTTGGCAAGAGGTAAGTACGGAGGTCAACTGGACAGGTATGGTTTGTAAGTGGGTGTTAGATAGCCAGGGGCGTATGACTTGGATGATGGAAGCTGCCCAGTCCGCCTTGTCTCATCAAGATGATGCAACATTGTGTGGTTGACCCATGATAAGTGACTTCGATAAACGGACGAGTGTTATTACCGCAATAGTAAATGAGAGGTGGTCTGGTTAGCTGTAATTGTGTCTTACGCCACGTCACTGGTCACTATAGCCTAATGAGGGGTTAAAATGTGACCTGGTCATCAACAGGAACCCAAAATTCAAGAATTATGTGGTTTGTCAGTTTGACAATGTTATCAAATTTATCGAATGTCATATATTGCCCAAATGAAACTATTTACTTCGGAACTACTTGTATTGAATAGTTCGGTGGTTATAACTGTGGGAAAAACTACAAAATTTCAGCGGAATGATAATGTGCACGCGATCAAGGTAACCCAGAGTAGTTCACAAAGCCGACCACCTGTACTTTGCTGTGTACTCAGTAACCTGGGGCAAATAGTGACGGGGGGTAAGGGTATCTGCCCTTCACCCTCTGTCCACACTCAAAATGCATGTGGACACGCTGTACCCGCTAATGACGTCTGCTTCCGTGGACAGGGAAGCCATTTTATTTTTTTAATTCAAACTCATTAAACATCCCATCTGTTCATCTTTGGAAAATTCTTACGGCCAGGTTTGCTAAGCTAAAGGGCACAACTATAATTTGCTTTTCGTGTTTCGTTTAAAAGTAAAAAACAAATACATCCAATTTACTGTAGAAAGTTAAATGTTTACGTTTGCATGTCAATGAGTGACGAATTTAACCTTTAAATTTTAATTCACAAAATCGTTACGTACTTTTCTGGTCTTTTTCAAAGCAACTTCTGTGCACGAGTCAATATGTATTCGTCTAAACACACAGAAAAACCTTGTTAGTCGTAAGAGGATTAACGATTTAGGTTTGTCGTCCGGGGTGAAAATAAACATGTCTCCTGTCAATGCCGTTCTCTCACTCCCCCATCCCTTCTACTGGCAAAGTTTCACGGTCAAGTTCATAACACGGTGTGTATTCGGTGGGAGTTGGCAGACTCGCAGTATGTTTCCGTAAATTTGAATTTGTGAAAAAGATTACATGCAGAATTTTTTAAGGCTTGCAATTGTTTGAAGGTTGCAGGGTTTTTTTTGGCGGCGGTACAATGTTGGCAAGTTATCCAATAATCACTCCGACAAACAAGGACTGGAGACTGTTGCAGCATAATGGCTTGACGAAGCTTGGCATGAAATGCACACGTTCATTCTGGAAATGCTTAGTTCAGTTGTTGTCTAATTGACCATATCATTAACGGACCTATATCAAAGAATCAGCAGATCTGTCCGTTATTGCATGCAATGAACTGTCCGTGCTTTGGCATTTACAATGAAGGAAAGTACATTGAAATGAATTTTTGGGGGATTATCACCTTGGCGATGTAAAAGAAATTTCATACACTCTGGAGTAAAGATTGCGCAACTTGGCACCTTAGCAACAGCTGGATGAATTGGCGCTACGATTTTAACTCTGAAATAAACATACTAATTTCCTAACTACGTGCATTAGCCATAGTTCGACCTTGACCTCCTAAAGTCAACATACGTCTTTCCCTGGATTTGCCTCAAAAGCAATCTGGTTGAACTGACGTAGAAAAAAACACTACCGGCTTATCGTCGTTTACGAGTCAACATTTGATTTCCTTTCCCTCTTCACGAGTTTTTAATTTTTGTCATTCTTTGTAATTTCCCCTCGACATTAAAATAACAAACCCCACTAAACAATATACGACGACTGAAGGGTTCGACTTTATTTCCTCCACGGTGCCTGATGACAGATTTCAACAAGCCCAGTATTACTCCGCCTCAAAACGTAATCCCCTTGTCCGTGGATGTTATCAACTGCTACCCCTCAATTACACTGTAGCGCGTTGTTTATGGGAGTTTTCACGATTCCCCCCATCTGTCCCCCAAAGTGAAACAAACTCGACATTTTCCCACAAACCGAGAGAGTCGGGCCTCCTTACAAGCGACACGTAATTTACAAGATGGCTGTTAAGATGAAACATATGGGGCTTATATTATTCAACACAATTTATCATTTACGCCGTTGACAAGCACAAAGCACCAAGATGAAGGAGAACTAGATGTCGTCAAGATACTGTTTTCCTTCAACTAACGTTCATACACACTGCCGATAACAAAGCGTATCGTATGACATTTTAATTAAGGAGTTATTAATATCTCATCCCACGATACTAATGTCAACGTACAGCATTCTTTGAATGTTTGTTTTATAAACTTCAATAATCTGCCATATCAAATGACATTTCAAGTAACGTGTAATAAGTATCGTCTTTCATACATTCTGAAAATAATTAGGTACAAACATCGAACAAATTACACAAATACCATACAACAGGCCTCCATTGTTAAATCAAAGCTAATCCTGTTTACTTTCCTTTGCTCATTTCCTAAGACGCCATGAAATAGAAATGTTCTCTTCATAAATCCCTATTACCAGGACGCATTAGGTCACGTCTAAAGTACCCCTAACACAACACTAGCGGTCGTAGGGTAGAGGTCCAGCATGGGGTTGGGACTTGTTAGTAATCCTAGAAAGATGGAATTCCTACACGTTCGTATTTCACACATTGAAACAGATTGGTCACCCACAGGACACCCTCGAACCACGGTTTGGAAACTTGATAAAGGACCATCCAGAAACGCATAAATACATATTTATCTAAGGTCATAAAACCAGCCAGTCCGGATATACGCTTATTGACATATTCTCATAACTGTGTACCTCATAGAATACAAGACAATTTTCACCTAGAACCCGAAACGTGTCCAACCTTATTCATTATGTTGAATAGGGAGGAAGATGGGGGACATTAGCTAAACCAATTTAGACATCAACTATCCTCTACTGCCCCGAGGGGTGAAGACGTTTCAATCCAAGTCCCTCCGTCACCATACCTAACAAACTCGCCAGTAAACTTCTCGCCTTACACCATTGAAAAATCCAGTCGACTTGTTTCGCTACAATAGAAGGCCGCAACTCGGAGACGGCGACGACAAAGCCAACGCCACGCCTGGTTGAAAGCCATCCCTGAATCTGCTGCGGGTTTTTAATGACGATGTGCCCTGAGAGATTGAAAATCCCCAAAAACATAATTTTGTCAGACTGATTGTGAGTTGTGATGGTTGTAGTGGGGTGGGTTTGTACTGCGCGTCACGTAACGTGAAGGTGGACACACCAAGGGGTTACCATCAACAGAGATTTTTTTTTGGGAGAGAGAGGGGAGGAAGGAGCCTATAAAATGTAGAGGGGGGCACTTGTCCGAGGGACTTAATGGGACAGAACAAGAATAAGAGGCGATGGAGGATACTCGAAACCTGAAACCTTGTCTCAACAGTTGATGTATAGTATGCTAATTCAAACCAACGGAAGTGCACATTGATCGACTTGGGTCGATTTGAAGTGTGGGGCTTTGTCTGACCTGTAAATTATCATACAATTGAGTTTGATTTAAGATTTTGGAAAATTGAAGATTTTGTCCCTCAGGACTTGAAACATGCGAGATACATCAACACGTGACACGCTCCATGTGGACACCTTCAAGCACTCGGGACTTCAAACCTGGTACAAGAGTAGAAGATGGAAGGGATAGACTGGTTACAAATCCACACTCCGACCTAATGGGCATTAGGGAAACCAATGGTATTGTTGGCCACCTGTTGACTTTAAAACGTGGTCAACAATTGCAACTTCACTACCGCGAGCATCCTCTTGCCCTGAAACAATTCTATCTCAACGAATGAGATCTGCAATTGTTCTGCATCGGATGATACCAGTGGAGGTCCGTGAAGTTTATTCTTGTCTCGACACGATAAGAAAGACCCTCGCCCACATCGGTCAACCCCATAAATGATGTGAAATCCCTCCCACATCCCACCTCAAACAGAAGGGGGTATTGTTCTCCTCCACAAGACAATGACTGTAACAAGGTACGGGGCGTCCCGTCCAAGCTAATCACTGACCCCTAAGCTACAGGTGCCCGTTTGCCCACAAGGCACCTTTCCCAACGTTTAAAATTGTAACTGAATCAAAAATTGACCAAACTCAAACAAACTAACATGGCTTTAAGGGATGTACAGGAAGTTAGACAATGCTGCGTTTTTGTGACAATGGCCCTCGAATACCTTAGAACCTTGGAGGTATTGTCAATTATAAAACGCAAACGCTGTTCAATACCGGAGACCCATGCTCCAGAGACACCTTAGCTTCCGTTTGTGATCGCCTGTCTCTGCACATAACAAATATTAGCAGAGACGATTCGTTGTGACAAACTGATGAGAAAATCTATAGCTGGTCTAATTATGTTTCTGGTCCCTATAACACTCTGGGCTCCGAACATCGCGACTGTTTACCCAAGTTTGTTTGAGATGACCCCCTGTGCCCGAGTGGACGTAAAGTGTTGTGGACATTGAGCCCACCTCTGAGTTTCAACTAACTGAAGAACATAACTATCAACGTTTGATGTTGCCACAGACAAAGCCTCATATTCTTGCTGTGTTTGCAGGTTCAAATTTTCACAGAATAATAAAAGAAAGCGGATTATTTTTGTGGCAAACGTCTAATCCAGTTGCTTGTCTTGACCACTGAAACTGACCGGATGGAAACGGGGAGGAATGTTTCGGCTGGAAGCAAATGTGTCCAGCTTCAGGTACCGTCCTAACACGCTATTTCGGCACGACTGGGGAACACTCCATATCTATATTTTGTATGTAGTTTTGTCCTTTAATGAAACTTAAAGCTGCATCTGTTCCTAATCAGTTATAAAAGCAACACATTTTATCCTATCTTGTGTTATCACGTCCGGCATACCGAGACGAATGTTAAAAGTTCTGGAAAAGCTAATTCTTATGAGTTGCCTCGTCTCACAAAAGACGATGAGCACAAAGAAATATTTTGGCAAGCCGAGAAGATTCTTGCATGAGCTGCAGCCAAGCCATAGCCTCCTAACCTTTAGCGTATTGGCAACAAGTGGCAACAATGAAGCAGAGGAATGCAGCCAGTAACACTACACCATAGTCACCATCCATGATCAGACTGATAAATACGACCAGATTAGTGGGTGGAAACCTAGCTTACAAATACATTATGTTTCAACGTCGTCCTGTAGAACTTTGGTTCCCATCCTGAAGAGGATGTGCCTGCATTAGCTAGCGGGAATCTGTCGATTAATGTAAAATATATACTTGAGGAAATGCCGGCTGTGTAGCCCGGAAATATAGCTCATATTACATGAGTATGGAATACGAGACTTAACCCATGGCAATGAGAATATATTATGCAATCTTGATGGTTATCATAAAATGTAATAATCTAATAAGTTGACAATTACCAAAGAAATAAAAAATAATTTTTTAAGGGATTGTTGTTAATAGGGGTTTTCAGAAAAGATAAATAAGCTCAAATAGTGACATGTCTCGAGATGTTGATGGTGCAGCATGGGAGTAAAAGACCACACCCGACAACCGCCTGCGGCGAGAAAGAGGTGAGTTTGGGTCGGGACAGAGCAAGGAGGAACGGGAATCCACTTTCATTAATTTTGCTCTTGAACCTCGCCAAACCTTCCACATGCCTCTCCATTGGGCCCTAGGAACCAGAGCAATGACTCATTCTTAAAGATTGCTCTCATTTCTGCCACTGGCTCTAAGTTTCCCATGCTCCGATGCAGACGTTCGATGCAGCCGTTTCCGGAAAAGGGAACCTGTCTTACTTTTATATACTCCAGGCTCAGTCGCATCTTTGATGTTGAAACACATGCGCTCATAAAGGGGCGATGGAGTCACAGGGAAAATTAGCGAATTATGAAGCGAAATAAACATTTATAGAATTTCGTGACATATTGTAAGACTTGCGTCACAGGGTAAAGCATCAAACTTTGAAATGAAGTACATCGCCACACTGAAACACTTCTACATGAATAATATTTCTTAAACGTTTACCAATGCAACGCGGCCTAAAATACTGGCTCAACAAACATGAACGTTGTTTTCATGGCAAAGTCCATAGATGAACCCAACACGTTTCTAAATAGGTAGGGGGTATTTTTAGTTACTTCGCATACTTCCAAATATTGTCGGTCCTCACTTGGGCCGCCATTCACATGCGTGGGTGCACAGAGGTGTACTGTAAGTTTATTTACAGGGCAGTTAACACTGGGAAGATACTCAGCGTTAACACACTAGGGAGAGAGTCGTGGTGTGGAAACTGACGCTTAAAGCCCTACCGTCGAATCCAGCATCATCAGTGGTATACATTATATGAATTACAGAAATTGCTAAGATTGGATTAAGAGAGCGGCCAATCGAACACTTATTCTCTTACTTGATGTGAGTAAATCTGGCGGGCTTCAAAGAACACGTGACGAGGACGTCAGATTACATAGCATCTGTCTCAGTGAGTGTTAATGTTGAAAAATATTTCTGTAATGCGTTTTTATTCGGAGATTCATCCAAAGCAATGTCTTTAAAAATAGAACATTTAAATGTACAACTGCTATCAGCCATTTCTGTTTCAAGACAAAAAGACCCACAATAATGAACCAATTAAACCAACTATCTAATATGTATTAAAACAGTCAGACAATACAACGTACATGTAGCCACATATAACAGTTATGACTGAAAGCTGTCGACATCAAACTGACATACATAACCATGCAAAAACGTCAGCTTCAATCACAAAATATGTTTGCATTCTGTTCGGCACCAAAAAAACCCAACCCAACCACAAGTACGAAAATGCATACTACATTCCATGCAAAACCATCTCGACATGTTGAACACGAGATGATTAACTGCTTGTCGGAGGAACGGGAGATTCCTCCTTGTTTCAAGCACTGAAGGCAAAACATGTAATTATCCTGATAAAAATATCACACAGCATAGCGATGTTAAACTCGAGTTGACATTACGGCCACGCCTCATTAGGACATGTGGGTACATACCAAGAATGTTAATTAGATTTCTCTGTCCAGAAGAGATAAACCAGGAACGCGCTTGCGATTGTTTTATTTCTCACAAAGGGTTAATTTAAAGGTTGACGACAATTACCGGTGACAGAGACATTATCTAGCCCCAATAGAACGATCAGGGATGGAAAATGGTTATTTAAACTATTACCACCATACGTGATCCAATAAAGGCGTCACGTATAATTGTTTTATAACCCTAATTAAACACTTTCCGTTGTTCTTAATTGCAATGTGTCAAGGGAAAATTGGCTCATACTGTTACATAATGTTCCGTCATACGGACCCAGATTTTCCAGTAGACATTTCAAATGATCGAATTTATGCTATATTTAACGTTCATGTCACATCTGATACTGTGATTTGAATAAGACATAATAATGTTTTTAAATATATAAATAGACATAATAATGTCACGCGTGGATTAACAGTCACGTTCTTAATAAAATTCTTGTCATGAAAACAACGGTAATTCTACTTTTAGAAGAATTTAATTACCTTATGTAATTTATTAGAATAATATTCATGTTGTTTTATCCTTTGAAACATAACGCAATGGCCTTATTATATAGAAACAAACTTCTGTTTCACTAATAGCGCTAGAAGGGTAAGATTAAAAATCCTCATATGATAAATCGACGCTAAAAGACAGAACCCAAGAGGCTCAAGCATTTAATAAACCCAACACCTGACCAAAGTTTGGCCTCCTACAAGTTCATGGTCAGTGTATGTTTTTTCACGAACGCGCGATTTTACTCCCCCGCCCTGACCGTCCCTGGGGTCAGGTCAAGAGAGGCCACTGAAGCAACATGTGGCAACCATTACACCAGAAGCGACCAATTACTCTCTCAGGCTCACAAATATTTTTGATAACGCTTATCGTAAAGCGGGGATCTCGAGAGTGTGGGAATTTAATTGACACAGCATATACGGCGTATCAAATACCTAACCTTCGCATGCGGAGTCTGTTTGTGCGACGAGGTCATGCAGAGTTGCGTCCCCTTGACCATGTGACTGACGGCAATTACGCTGTACAAGTCCAAACATGTTCGATGAGCCGTGCGTCTAGTGTGTGTTTTGTGGGGATATATGGGCCGCGGTGAGATAACGCCGAAACAGCTTTCCGACATGTTGTAACATGTCAGAAACATGCCAAACAAACTCGACGTTTAATATCTAATTTATACTATTTTCTTTGATCATTTCATATATGTACCCATTTCTGGTGTATCCCGCCGTGATATTGCTGGAATATTGCGAAAAGCGGCGTAAAACTAACCTCACTCACTCATATATGTAACCTCCTTTAGATAACTTTTGGGAACATTTTAACAAACCATTTTGAATATGAATTTCATAACTTTCTTTTCCTTAATATTTCAGGTGCAAACACCATCAGAAGTATTTTGACAAATATGTCTGACCGAACCGTATTATCTTGTAACATAACATAAAACATGCTGCTGTAGAACTATATATTCTCACTTGTCATTTATCGGTGAGTTATCCAACATACGTAGATCTATTCTTCTCAAACACCATCCATACCAAACCACAGCCAGTTGAATATTACCACTACCCACACCGCTGGCAACCGATCTACAGCCCTCATTATGAAATTTAAACATGGCGTTTGAATAAAAATGTTATCTAAAATATTAAAATTAATATAATCAGAAGCAGTATAAGGGGTTCTTACCTGGATCATAAATCATTTCTTTCTCGAGCGCCTGTCTCTTGCTTCTGATGTAGCATGCAGCGAATACAAACAGTACGAGGGACACAGACACTATGCACAGTATTCCGATCAGCGCCATAGCCAGGGTCTTCCATTGGTGTTCGCTGGAGGAGACGGCAGACGTCAAATCCAGAATGCTCCCTTGACTTTTCGCAGGGTCGGTCGTGTCATCAATGGATACAATGGACAGTTCGGAGGTAGGGTCCGTGGATTTGTGATGGTTTTTCTTTCCTTGGTGGTGTCCTTTGTGATGTTTGCCGTGTTTGTGGTGGTCGGGGTGGGCATGTTCCTCGTCAACGAGACCACCTTCGTCAGGCCTTTGGTTAAAGTCTATGAACTCGCGGAATGGCCCGCACATCGTGTCTCCGTGTGAGTGGCACGGTTTTCTGATAATCTGGTTCTTTGGACATGTGGAACAATTTTTACAGACGTCCAGTTGCATGTCTAAGAACTGTCCATTCGGACACTGTGCTACTCCGCTCTCTGTTGGGATGGCAATGTACAGCAACACCACACATACAAACAATACCTTCATCTTGTGTCTGCAACAGTAACAAAGTGTGAAATTAATCTTTTGATCTCAACATTGTAACAGAAATTAAGATTGTGACAATGTTGGCAATAAAAGTACACTTTAATAACTGTCTATTAAATAGCTGTATTATTTACACAGGATAACATGTGAATATTAATTCTCATAATAAATCCAAGCATATTCGCAACAAAGCACATATCAGGTAATATATTTCATTCATTAATAAAGCCCAGCCTTCAACTGACCTTTCATTAAGTTTCAATATTTAATTTTTCAAAACGCTTAAGGTGAAATTCAGGTTGATACATCCGGTCCCATGTCAGGTTTAAAAATAGCCAATGGGTCGTGATTTCGCAACCAAATTTCCACCTTCTATTTATAACTAAAATCGATATCGATTCAAATCAGGCTTCGGATTACAGCTGTTCAGATTTTAAGTTGTCTGAAAATCAAAACAACGTTACTATTACCTATTTCTCCTGTTGCATAATATTGAGTAATCGATATAAATAAAGGAAGTCTCGGGTTAGGCTACAAAGTTGGAAAGAGCTAGGCAAAAAATGTCTAAAGATCCGTTTGTAAAAATATCCAAGTCATGCTCAGGGCTGAAACCATCGGAGCGTCAACAAAAACTCATTCATGTAAGCAAAGGTAAGTAAACCTGGGCCCGCCGCTAGTGTGCCTCGCTCGAGTTAGCATGGGCCGTTCATAACCAGACGATGTCTCATAGCCCATCACGCCTCTTGAAAATATTTCAGGTACAGTGAAATGTGATGACTACGACCGTAGACAAATATCGCTAAGATGTAACTCCAGCTCGACTTACCTTATGTCGCAGCGAAGAGCCAAGAGAATGATTAAAATCCACACAATCTTCGATCTTTATTCACGTATCCTCGCTCGCTCACGTCTGTTACTTGTATGAACGCAGACGGCAATGTGTTCCGACTTGCACACTCAGCATTCACAAAACGTCAGCTCGTCGTCCGCTTCAACCAATCAGAATCGAGACCGTCGGGTAGGGGCGTGGCGTAAATGGGTCAGCGGAGAGGTCATGTTCATTGAATGGATTCAACAAGTTCTCAAGTCGTGCGCTTGTCTGGATTGGCCACGACAGGCGATAACTTGATGTTTTGACGGATTTTCATCAACCAGCTGAGCGCGGATAAGGGGAGTCTTGCTTGGTAGTATCCCTGTCGTATCTACCAGATTTCATGGACCTAATTTTCATGAAACATGACTTAGCTCGCTCTCAAACTGTTGCCATTCCTATACGTGTGCTGCATGTCTGTCGGTCTCAAACAATCGAATAACTGCCATGGTTCGTAGAAGATCTACAAAATTAGACAATAATTAGGCACATATGCAGTTTGGGCTGGGACGGGTCCAAATTTTCTACCGGGGTACTCCACCCCATATTACCCTACCCTACCCGGATACTCGATATGTTAATTCCTGACTTCAAATCTGTAAGAAATATCAATATATTCTTCAGCTCGGAGGCTACAATTTCGAGTCTTGCAATAGCTTAATCATGTTTTATATTCAAAACAGCTGACTGTAAATAATGTCTAAATCTTCAAAGACAATACAACCTTTTAATAATGAAAGAATAACATATTACACTGTTTAATCTGTTAGTCACATGATCATAACGGGTTCGGGTATTGAGATGGATACCCGGGTCCAACTCATTACCCACCCGTCCCGGGTATCCAGGTTGCCCGTCCCAGCCCTACTATGTTGTACTCTATTTGATGCCAATATTTTATGATGATTTTTATGATGTACAACTTGTGACATTTTAATAAACAATCTTCTTCTTCCTATATGCAGTGTTGGTTATCAGCAGAAGAACTGTATGATATTTTGTGCGTGTGTCCAGGTATCTTACATCACATACGTGTTCCCAGTAATACTACAGTATTTTAATAGCTGTTAGTAATTTATTATTTATTTTTAACTTTTGTCTCTTAATGCAAAATGGTGTCTCATAGGCCGTATTGGCCGGATGTTGTACTCACTCTTATGCCTATATTTTCTGATGCCTCTTGTGGTGTACAACTTGTGACACTTAAATAAACAATTTCCTTCTTCTTCTTCTTCTTCTTCTTCTTCTTCTGCTTCGTCTTCGTGTGTTTGTAACTTGATGAATGAACCGGAACTAACAAATATCAAAAATCAGAATGGCCTGTATTTGGTAGATTATGTATTTAAAAAAACTTATTTTCAACTAAATGTAACATACATTACCACCGAGATCATGATATAAAAACATATTAACTTATTTTTGTCTTTTCATATCAAATATCATATTGACTAGGTTTTTACATATTAGTATGGCTGATTCCCATGAAAGGAGTTTCATCCCCATTAACCCTCTATCTGTTTCCCCTGACACACCCTCTGTTTCCCGTGCCCCTTTAACTAAACTGTCCCGCCCTTTTTTCCCCAACCCCTCTGGATTATCTCCCCTTACCTGTACCCTGTCCCACTGACTATAGCCGTCTCCGGTGCATTAAGCTTTGACACCGATTTCACATTGCCTAATTATAACGTAATCTTAATGATGATTAACATCACATTTTGAAATGTTCATAACATCAAATGATATTTGATGAACTTCTTTGAGTAACATGTAGACATTGGTGTGATGAGGAAGGCTCCATATACAACCGTTTAACAAGCAGTGTTAAGATTTTCGTTTAGAATCAAACAGACACATTTTAAAAAAAAATTTAAGGTAAATATGAAATAATGGCTTAATTCATTTGTTTATTCGACAACAGGACATGCAGATATAATAAACTGATAAGCATAGACAATATATATAGTATATTTAGTTGTACATATACTCTCAGTAACATGCTAGTATTACGGGTTTCATCATATTGGCTACGCTGGAATTAATAATACACATCTGCAACATAAGTGGAAAAACTTAAATTTTGCATTTATGAATTTACACAATAAAACTGCAACTGTAAAATAATGAAAGTAGTATTTTTCACTCAAACGTACATGGTTAACGTGGATGGGTTCAAATATATGTTTTGGTTTTGTTTTTTGTGTTTGGTATGTTTTATAATTTATACTCAAGTTTAATTGTAACAAAATGGCGCCTGTCACCATTTTACTTTAACCCCCTTCCATTAGTCTACCATATAGACCCTGAAACAAATATATACTCATGCCAATAATGGTTGTCACCCCCTTCAATTTTTTAATTGGAGAGGGTGTGTGAGGTTGGGGGTTGGGGTGGGGAGGGGGTGACAACCATTATTGGCATGAGTATATGTAAGAAAGCTCATGCAAGTCTTGATTAAGTAGAACACTTTTCATGGATAGACAACTTCTTTGTTGTCCACTTCAAATGCTTCTTAATGAAATCTTGATTATGTGGCAAGTCTAGATTAACTCAGTTTCAGTGTCTGAAAATGAAAGATGTTCTCTGGGCTCATTCTTATTGTATTGTGTTATGTGATCATAATTGTAGGAACTTTTTTTCTGTAAAATATGTTCATTTCATAGACTAGATGTAAGTCTGCCCCTCCATCAGACTGTATTATTTAACAGTACTTGTAAAACGGAGACAACCCTGACAAAAACTCGATTCCCTGTCAAAATAGAGGTCTACTGTATGTCAAAATAAGCGTTGTTTATGTTGACGTAATTGACATACTGGAGCATCAACATCATCTAATCACTTACACAATTCAATACACATGTCCCGATCTTCCATTTACATGTCACTTAAACTCACAATGCCGGACCCAAACACAAAACACAAAGTATTACTTCTACAAAACGAGCAATCTCTTTCAATCAACACCATAGCATTAAGCTACTGTTGTCCGAAATTGCAAACAAACCAACCGTCCTGGTCACTTGTCACGGACAATGGCGTCCGTGATTGTGGAACAGAAGCTTGTGAACGTTCACATCAGACAGCAATGAAAACAACCCGCTGTCACCCGTCACAGTGTTAAAACAGTGGCGTGAGAAGCTTTTTGCACCTTACTGTGAATTAAGGGTATTTTCACCTGATTACATACCAGGTTAATTGGGATTGCGATGTGACATAATCACCTGTGCCTAACAGTACTTGAGCGTGCCAGTTGAATGACATTCTTATAATTAACACTGATTGCATTTCTGTGCTGTTTTCCGAGGGAGCTGGGTAGAAAATGGCGATTTTGTGATAAAGATCACACCATCGCTATGTTTACAAACATACACCTGGAAAAATGGTAAAGAACCGCTTTCTATAAATTTTCATACAGAAATGTCACATTTGGAAACCATATTCCTATTTAGTGAAGGATGAGGACTATTTTTATGGATATACAACTTCTTTATATTTGTCACTTGCTTGACAACGACATTAGAATCTATGTCGAAACGTCGCCTATACAGAATAAAGAAGTTGTATATCCATTAAAATAGTCCTAATCTTTCATCTACCCAACTTCTAGAATGCCAATCAAAGAAATTCCTACTTAGTGTTGAGAAAAAGCACATATTTTTTATGAATTGACACAAAATAGCAAATTTCATGTTTTGTATTTTGTAAATGTATGGCAATAGTTTTTTAATTCCCTGTAACTGCCTTTTCTTTTGTGCTTCTACACTGTCTCTGAATATACATAATTTTGATAGAAACAAATAGTTCCTTTCAAACTGAAAAGGAGCCCAAGTGAGATTGCCCATTGGGACCTGAGGAAATCTAGACTGGCTTCATTTGGGGCTTTAGCTTTACAGAAAGGGCTAAGCGGAAGAGGAAATAATGCGGTTTTAAACCTAATAGGACTGCCAGACAGACTTCTGTGCTTCATATGATGTGACGTGAGCTCACATATACGTTGATATGTCATCTTCATCACAGCTTTCATTCACCTCATGATGAAGCAAGAATATACTCCGAAACACTGTGTTCCAAGACGCTGGCATCCGTAAATCCTCTGCCTTTGAGTGTCACTAAAAATACCACGAAGAGTTAATATGACATCAACATAGGATGATGCGCTAGAGTAGTCTACATTAGTCCTCACTCACTCACTCACAAACACACGCACGTATCATAGTACATATACCCTCATAACACATCATTCACCATCCTGGACAATCCAGTGTATTTTATGCCCATTGTTTTAGGATAAATACCCTTGACACATTCACAGCCAAAGTTTATTTTGGAACTCACATCGCCAGCTCCACACTTTTCACTCACTGGGGCGGTGGGGTAGCTTAATGGTTAAAGTATCTGCTCGTCACGCTGTAAACCAGGGTTCGATTCCCCACATGGGTACAATGTGTGAAGCCAATTTCTGGTGTTCCTCGCCGTGATATTGCTGGAAAATTGCTAAAAGTGGCGTAAAACTAAACTCACTCACTATCTTAGTACACATTTTATCATAACAGACATACCACTCGCTATACTAGTCTGTCATACAGACCCTGAAGCAAATATATCCAAGAAAGCCAAAGCAAGTCTAGAAAATGTGGCAAGTCTAGATTTCCTCAGAAGAAAGTCTCAGGGCTCCTTTTCATTATATATAATTTTGTTTACTATGATTTTTTTTCAGTAAAATATGTTCATTTCAGAGACTAGTTGTTAGTCTATCGAGATACCAGAGGATGGATTTTTCACGCAGTCTCTAAACTATTCCAATATCAGGACCAACGTAACTAAGACTGTCACAGCTGGGATTAAAACTCATCGAACCGTAATCGACAACAGTCATTAAAACTGCCATCTCCAATCCTTCCGCCATTACGACACTGTCAAAACAGTGCGCAGAAACCCAAGTGTCCCCAGTTTGACGCAAGAGGTCATGTCAAGTTTTTTGACACTTATATGTAGGCCCTCGAAACATTACCAGCTGTTGAAAAGGGTCGCGCCATATGTTAACTGTATTGCACTCTTAACATCCCAAATCTGTTACACACTGTTGTAGC